GGCCTGTTTCCTGCTCGCTGTCACTTAAATTCGTTTCCCTGGAATCTGGGCCTACTGCAGCTGTTCCTCCTTCACTGCCCTGCCTTTCAGTAATTTTTTCTTCTTCCGCTTTTTTCTCTCTATCAACATCATCACCATCAGCTTCCTCTCCAAGTACGGAAGTTAAATTTTCTTCTCCACCTGGTGCTCTATTTTGTGACCCTTGGGAATCTTGTGGAGCTGTTTCAAGTCCTTGTGATGCAAGCGGAAGTTCAGCACGATTCCCAGGACCTGACTTCTCATCGTTTGCAAAACCGCCGCCCGCACCGCACCACAGCACGCAGAGGGCACACACCAGCAGCACACGGCCAGTCATCATCATCGCCATCACTCCTGTCACTTGCGTGCAGCCTTCAGCAAAAGTAACACCACGTCAACGCAGAACCGAAGGAAAAAGAAAATAAAAGTCACACAACCACTCACAGCCAAAGTAACAAACAGCAGAACTCGCACACCGACCCGCAAACAGAAAGCTAAAAAAGCTGAAAAAAACACAAAGCACAATAAAGTGTCCGGCAGGGATCCCGGAAACAATTAGAGAAATTCATTCGGCATAATTTTTATTTCATGTGCCAAGCAGCGCAATGTAAACGAACTTGTGTTTTTGTATATACATATTGCCCGCACCAAGAAAAATAAATTAAAGTAAAAAAAAAAAATGATTATACTGCTTCACGAGCCCACACAACATCCCTCACATTTCGTGCGGCATCCGGCCTTTCTCTCCAATCCTCCTCTTGTGCAGTCCGTGGGACGCACAGCAATGAGGCCGTCACCGCGTGTGGGCAACAAAAAACAAGACAAAAAGAAGAAACATGTCACTCATGAAAACGTACAGCAAACTAGCATTGGGGGAAAACACAGGAATGCTGATTATTCCAATAGGGCAAAAGCAGCAAAAATAAATAACTAAAAGAAAGTAAAAAAAAAAAACTTAAATTATTGACAAAACTCAGTGGGTAATGCTGGCAAGCTGCACAGTTATTGTTCCACGAAAAACCGCAGTTCCACCCTCCCTCACACCTCCGCAGAGTGCCGCAGCGCCTCACAGCCCCAGAAACAGAAGCAACAACACCCGAGACAGACACCCATGCACGGTGCTGTCACAAATTTCGGCCATGGCCAACAAATCCGTGAAATGCCCGTGCTCACAAAAAACGTTGCTCACAAGTGATGCTGCGTCGTGCTCCGATGGGATCTCTGGTTTCTCGGACGTTGTGCGCAAATAATCCTGTGCGGCATCACCGCCACCCGACACGTTATTACTCGTTCAACATTTGCTAGGGCCGTGCTGGGCTCAGGCGTGGCTGTTGTACCATCCAAGGACATTAGATCATTGTTGCTGAGTGAATCGGGGCCGCTATCCGTGCCCACGGCAGTGCGGGCATAAGTCTCCTATTCATGGCCAACGTCTTGTTATTCGCTGGCGACTGTGTTGGCGGTGTACGGCTCGTTGTATCTCGCTGAGCGTGCGTCTGGATCCGCCGCGCTGCCACTCGACTCCCCGGACAGCCGAGCTCCCTGTGGGGCCTCACCGCGCAGCTGCCGGCAGCCTTGCATGATCCTGCCGAGCGGAGTGTCCTGCCACTGAGCATGGCCACAGACGGTTCCCAGTTCTCCGCCTGGCAGCAGCGTCCCAATCGCCCACACGAATCTTGGTGGTAACGGACTCCCTGTCGGCGATGGAGGCGCTCCGTCTTGGCTCGCTAGCGGTGCACGATGAATTCACCGAGGCTATTTGTACCGTGCTGCTTTCACAGGTGGATCGAGGTCACACAGTTGGCTCAACATTTTCCCCATGACACTGCGGAATCCCACGCAGCGTGACAGCGGACGGTGACGCCGTCATGCCACGATCCCTCCCGCAGGACTGCGTCAATGCCTGGCACGTGGGCTTCCTCACTGCAGTCGGGCGGCGGAACTTGAAGGATGCCCAGGAGGAAAAGGAAGGCGCGCACACCGCGTGACAGGCGTTTCTCGGTGTGGCGAGGGCTCTATTCCTGCTGTTGGCCCGGACATCGTGCCCCGAGTGGCGGCACCGCGCGCAGGCGCGATGCAACTCCTGCCCTCTCTTCGCCAGGCCTGCGCTCGCCCTGCGGATCACAAGGGACCCTCTCTGTGTCAGTGGTGCCGCTCTCTCACACTGAGGAGAATGGCCCGCCTCTCCCGGAGCTTCTTCCCGACGTGAGCATCGCGACTCCTTTCCGACCAGCGAGCGGCGGATTGACGTCCTCCTGCCCAACCTGCGGCAGAGTGCGCTCGTTCATCCACAATATGAGGGCACATGCCCGACGTGCTCGGCCTGGCGTTCCAATGGTTTGAGAGAGCCTCCCATGCGGATGCCGCGATTGTTTCACCGTCTTCCTAACAGGCGTCTCGCGCACAGGTTGCCACCAAAGCTGCCAGGCGTGCCAGCAGGCAAGACACGCAGGAAGCACAAACGCGGGTACTCGAGATGGACCAGGCACTTCCGCCAGCGCCTCGTCACGGACGCCACGGGCTGCTGATCCCACGACGGTCCACGGGAGACTCCGCTTCACCCACTGCGGGAATGCCAGCGTCATTGAGAATATGGACTGCGACTGTTTGGGACTGCCCCAGACTGCACGACGGCCCGTTTGCGACGGCATAATCGCCACTTTTGTACGGACGGCCCTTGCGCTACTCACTTGTTGTTTTAGCAGCAGACAACAAAAACAGGATAACAATTTGCTTTGCGATGAATATTGTCTGTACTTCCTGCGGACCAACAATCCACGTGGTGTGCGAGGATCTCCTTTTTTTATTGTTACTTTGCTTTTGTGCTGCTGTGTGCGCTGCACCCTCTTGTGTGTGTGCGTACCCTCCGTGAGGGGTGCAGGCACGACGGACCGCTCTCGCCGTGTGTGCATGCGGTGGAGCCTTGTGTGCCGCTCCTGCTTGCTTCTCCCTCCTCCATCTGTGTGTTGGTGGTGCGGCAGGGCTGTGTGTGTGCGTGTTGCCGTGGATTGGAGTGTGTGTCGTGCGTGGTGTGCGGCGTACGGTGCATGCCTGGCTGCTGCCCTCTCCTCATGTGGTGTGCCCTCTGTGTGTGTCTGCTGCGCCTCTCGTCTCCCCTGTTGCTCTCCATGTCCCTCACTGTGCAGATCAGCTCCACACCACTGAACGACCACACTCACGATGATGACGATGTGCCGTCTGCTGTGCGCCCTGTTGGTGCTCGCCCTGTGCTGCTGCCCGTCCGTGTGCGCAGAAGAGACTCCGAAGGATACTGAAACGGTTGAAGAGTCTACCGAGAGGACCACAACGATGACTGCAACACAGCCACAGGGAGCCAGTAAGTCACTGTCGCCAAGTACGGTGTCCGCTGCGGATCGTGAGGACATTCAGCCAGGGACACTAGAGTCAGGAGAACATGTGACCAGTCACTCGGGCTCGCCAAGGATTTTGTCCAGTGCGGAAAAGGGAAAAGTTGGCGAAGAGGGACCGAAATCGGATGAGGTGGCTGTTATTTTACAGGCAGAAAGTAGTGATGTTGCGAAACGGCTAAAAGGTGAGAAGACACTATCCGAGGAAGGAGCAACTAAGGAGACTGACGCTTCTGCCGAGACAACTACTACGACCACTACAACACAAGCACCAACTACAACGACCACGACTACCACTGCGCCAGTGGCGCAAATTACTACGACTACAGAGGCGCCAACTACGACGACCCGCGCACCGTCACGTCTTCGCGAAATCGACGGCAGCCTCAGCAGCTCTGCGTGGGTGTGTGCTCCGCTACTGCTCGCCGTATCCGCGCTGGCGTACACCGCTGTGGGCTGAAGAGGTGTGTGCGGGCTGTGCGTGCCAGCACTCAGCCACGGGGACATGTGTGCGTCTACTGTGGTCCGATGTACTAAACATGATAAAGCAATGATTGTGTTTTGCTTCATTTGCTTCCGCTGCCGTGCTATGTGCTCCTTGCCGCTCCCCGCATCCGTCACGTTGAACGCATCCCAGGCACACTCATATGCACGACAGGCACGCAACTGTTTGCGTGGAATCACATTTGAGGATGGGTGCATGCGCGCTGGACCCATACTGTGCAGCTCTTTTTTGTGTGTGTTTTTACATTTTTTACTTTATTGCTGTGCGTTTACCTCCGTTTTGTTTTTAATTGCTTCGTGTGTTTTTTCTGTTTACTTGCTGCGGGGCGTTGTGTTTTGCCCTTTCACTGTTTTCAACTGCCTTATGGTGTGTGCGCTGCTGGGCTGCCGCCATTTGTGACTTTGCGGTGGCTGTGCGTGGTGTGTCGTCTCTCTTTTGCTTTTGCTCTGCGTTGACGTGTTGTTAGTTTGTGCTGAAGGCTACACGCAAGTGACGGGAGTGATGGCGATGATGATGACTGGCCGTGTGCTGCTGGTGTGTGCCCTCTGCGTGCTGTGGTGCGGTGCCGGCGGTGTTTATGCGAGGGACCACGACAGCAACGGACTGGTTGGCAGCATGTCTTCGGGAGTGTTGGGTGCGAATTTGCCCCATATGCCGAGTGGTTCTGATAAGAATGCGTTCATGCTTCCTATGCGGTCTGTCTTGCCAATCACTGTCGCTGAGGCTTTGAATGAGAACGATGTTTCTGTTCCAGCCGAAGAGGATGTGGATTTAAGTTTGAATGCAGGTTATCCCCATGCTGCTGCTAATGGAGGTGGAGGTAGGATTGGAAATACGACTGGCAGTCATGCTGGTGGCAGCAAAACTTCTGGTGGTGGAATTGGCAGCCCTGGTGCAGGTGCTGTCGGTGTTCAAGGTGAAGGTGCCCAAAGAAGTGGTGGTGGTGTTGATCCTAACGGAAGTGGACATTCTACTTTGGAAACTCTCGGTAGGGAAGCAAATGGAAAAGGGGGAGATCAAAGCGGGGTGAGGACAGAAGAGAATTCCAGGAACCCTCCAGCAGAACTGTCATCGTCAGTACAGTCAAAGCCACCACTAACACCGCCAGAACCAGCGGGAGTACCACAAATACAACATGCCCCACAACTATTACCGCAAAAAGCACCAGAAACAGCGGAAGCATCACCATCACCGGCAGTTTCGGCAGTAGATAGAGGCACGCCGGAATCAAGGGACTCACAGATTTCAGGCAAAGAAACTAAAAAACACTCAACTTCAGAAGCCAAAACGGAGCCCCAAATAACAGAAAAGTTTTTAAATGGTGGTCTGACAGAGGAAAACGGTCAAGAGGCAACTAGACCGAACCTTGCGAAGAATGCAGTTACTGACACTCCAACGAAAACAACGGCACCATCCCTCTCTACAAGTGGCACTGGTGATGTCCAGACAACAACGGACACGGTTGATAACGGTGCTCAACGGCCTAACACCAAAGAACCACAAGACGGGCTCGAAGATGGTAATACCAACGTTCCTCCTAGAGCTAGTGGAGCGGCACCACAAACAGCACTAACAGCCACCATCACTCAAAAAAATCATACGAAGACTATAGGCGACAGCGACGGCGGCACCGCGGTCCCCCACACCACCTCCCCTCTTTTGCTTCTTCTTCTTCTTGTCGCGTGTGCGGCTGCGGTGGTGGCCGCGTGAGAGTGAGTGTGAGAGAGCCATGCACCGCCCGCACACACACTCTTCCTTCTCTCTCTGTGTGTGTGTCCCCTTGCATGGACTCTCGCCCTCACCTCACCCCACGAAGCACACACAATAATGTGCCCATTGTATATATGCATGCACACCCATGCAGGCCCGTTGGTGCTCTCTTTTGCACGACACGCACTGCTGCCGTCCTGCCTGGCTGCATGGGCGGAGCACCGTAACTGTTTCTGTTTTGCTTCCATTGCATTGAGTGGGCGACCTCTCTCTCTCTCCCTCTGTGTGTGTGTTTTGCTTTACGGGAGCAATGAGAGTGTGTGTGCGCTGGTCGTCCCACGCTTCGGCTTTTTGTTTTGTTTTGCTTTAATTGTGCTGTAGTTGAGTGCACCCATTACCCATTTTGCTTTTTTTTCTTTTTTGATTGGTGGCTTGCGTTGACTGCGTACGCCTAAATTGTCTTTTTGTATTTTTATTCTTTTGAGCGACTGTAAGTGTCTCTTATCCGTGTCAAGCCATCAATTGTTTTTTTTTATACGTATGCCGTGCGTCAGTTGGTCCACGTTAACCCGTGGCTTGCAGCGCTGCTGGTGCTTCTGCTTGTGATGTGTTGTGCATGCGGGTGCTTTGCTGCCAGCCTGGCGTGCTCCTGCTCCACTGACAAGGCGATGCGTGCCCACAGGGCAAAGTCGATCCCGACTGTGCTGAGAGAAGTGTCCTTTTGGAGCAGAGGGAACATCGCAGACATGCACCGTCATTGGGAGGAATGGATGGGCGCCCACCCGCGTCAATGTGTCGACAAGGGAGCTGGATGGTACCAAGAAGTATTGCAGCTCAGAGCGGTAGTACGCAATGAATTCATTGAATGAGAATTGCGAATGTAAAGATGATGTTTTTTCGTAATGAGGAAAAGGGAATTTTTCCACTTTGTCATACTTTGCAGCCACTGTTCGTTACTATTCTGAGGACCGTCCGTAGATATGTGGCCATTTTTTCTTTCTTGGATGCCGCTGTCGTGCGAGAGGGAGTGTTCCCAAATAGTCGGATGTTCAGTTGTCGAGGACGGGTGCATTCCCGCAGCGTGTGCGGCAGGGCCTCCCGTGGATTGTCGGGGGCTCAGCGGCTGGTGAGGGTTGCCGTAGCGGAGTGGCTGAAGGGCTACGGCTGTCATTGGAGCTTGCGGAGGTGCGCTGTCCGTTTTTTGCTCGTTGATACGCTTGACATTTTCGGTAGTGACCTGCGCGTGAGGCACTTCTTGGGAATACGGTGGAGCTGTCGCAGAATCCACGTGTGAGGTCTTCTGCAACGATTGGAGTGCCAGAGTTGGTGCATCGGGCGTGTACCTCCATATTGTGGACGGACGAGAAGACTCTGCCACCGATTGGGCAGGGCGACGTTGATCTGCTGCTTGTCGTTCTACGAGGAGGTGCCGTGGACACGCCAGATGGAGGTTCCGGAGGCGGTCGGGGTGGATCCGTCTCCTCAGTGTGAGAGGGACGGCACCACCGACACAGAAGGGTTCCTTGTGATCCGCAGGGCGCATGCAGGCCTGGCGAAGAGAGGGCAGGTGTCGCATCGCACCTTGCGCAAAGACGCGATTCGATGCCCGGGTCAACACCAGGAATAGAGTGCTCGCCACACCGAAAGGTGCCTGGCGTGCGGTATACGCGCCTTCTGCTTCCTCCTGGACATCCTCCCAGCATAACCTCTTGACAGCGGTAAGGAATTCCACGTGCCAGATTGGGATGCCCTCTTGCGGGAGGGATCGTGCCATGACGGCTTCTTCGTCAGCTGCCTCATTGCGTAGTATACCGCAGTGTGATGGGGAAAGTATAAATTCTACAGGATGGCCTCGCTCCACTAAGGGAAGCAGCATAATTAAAATCTCTTCAGTAACGCGGTCTCGCATGGTCAATGGGCAACGGAACGCCTCAATTGCCGACAGGGAGTCCGTCACCACCAAGATTCGTGTGGGCGATTGGGATGTTCCCAGACGAGGAGGTATGAGATGTCTAAATCCATTTTCAATGGAAAGGCACTCTGCTCTATATGAGCATGCGAGCCTGCCAGCTGCTGCACGATGTACCTCCACAGGGAGATCATTTGCCGCGGTGTATTCGTATAATAGTGCAGTGGATCAATGTGCGAGTTCAGCGAGAGAGGAGGGACTGTCCATCCATAATTCAAAATCACAATCTCCTAGAGAGGAGTAAATAGAATCAAAAGCCGTGCGCCTGACATCGTCAGAGGCGTCGTTGGCAAAGGGTCGCTGATAAAATCTCACTTTGTTGCAACTCACAATGTCCCAGGAAAAAATTCGATGTCGAATAAGAGGGGAGCGCGAAGGTGGTTGCGGGGTGTCCCAATAATGTTACAGACGCGGTGTAATTCATTAATAACAGCATCTCTCGGAAGCGGGATTGATGTCGCCGCTTTCCCATGCATGGACAGCGGCATAGGTTCCGAGTAGATAAGGGAACGCAAATCCTCGTGGTCATGGAGGCGTATACAGAGTTAGTATTGTGTGAGTGCACGGAGCCAGAGTATCTTCCGGAGCCGGAAAGATTGGCTTCCAAGTAGACAGATGTATCTTCCGTTGCTGCGCCAAGGAAAAGAGATGTGTTACAACTGTCGCGGTACCGTACTTCCATATTATGGAGGTAGTTGTAGGCAAGGCATGGGACAATTGTCTCGCCACGATATAGTGACACACTGTGGACGTATCCAATCGAAAAGAATCGCATGGTGAGATGGGACGCACCAGATTGTGCGACCAGCTTCAATTGGTAACGGCGTAGCATTGTCTGCTTTGCAGCGGTGGAGGCGTGCGTGCCAAAATTAAGGTGATCAATCGTGGTGCCCAGCAAGCGCACTGGGCGTGGCTGAATGCGTAGTTGCCCATTGCCAAGGTGGAGATCGACTATGTCCTCTTCAGAGAGTGCGTGTGTGTGAAGAGATGTAGAATGCAGCAGCTTCGCTCTTATCAACGTTGATTTTTAGGTTTTGCTCGGCAGCCCATTTCGATAAAAGGAACAGGACGGGTTGCATCGCCGCAGCACATGCATGGATGTCCACACCTGAGGCAACAAGTGTGTGTTCGTCAGCGTGCATGAATGCAGCGGCAGAATAGATGTTGTCCATGCGGTGCAGCCGATCATCCACACAGTAGAGGGAGAGTTGGGGTCCCGGGACGCCGCCTTGCGGTACTCCGGCTGAGGTGAGTTGTTTCCGGGAGTTCTGTTCGCGAGTGCACACCCCAAAATGGCGGCCCCGCAGGTAGTTGTGCAGCCAGCGTTTGGTTCGTGGGCCAAGGCGCGGAAGTCTGTCAAGCATGCCGAACAACTTCCCATGGTCAACGGTGTCGAAGGCAGTCAAAAAATCAATCAAGACTACGAGCGAGCGGTGGCGACGAGGGTGCCTTGTGGGGGCGCCGCCTCCAGGGCGCTCATACTCCACAGTGCTGAACTCATGCAATCCACGGGTAATTCTATCAATAACAAGTGCCACCACGTCCGATGCAGAACGTGAAGGTGCAAAGCCAAATTGACGTGGGTGGTGCGGCAATAACGCTGACAGACGGCGGTGAATCATTCCTTCGGTTAATTGTAGTGAAACAGGGTGTAGCGTGATAGGTGTGTAACTCTCTGGGCTGCATGGACCTTTTCCCAGGTTTGGGGATAGGAATAGTGTCCACCGTATTCCAGGAACAAGGCAGGCTGCCATTTGCGAGGGAGTTGTGGATCATCGTTCCAATTGTGTGCCGCACGCAACGGGCCCGAGACGGTGCAGGAATTCATCCAACATGTTGTCGGGGCCAGCGGCCGAGCCGAGCGAGGAGTCACGGATGGTCACGTCAATTTCATACGGCGTGAGAGGCCGATCCATTTCCCGGTCACCAGGAAGCAATGGAGCGCGGCGTGCAGCAGCAGCAGCATAAGGTGATGTGGCACGTGAAACCCGCACAAAATGACGGACGAGCAGATTTGCCTTTTGACGAGACAGAGCGCAAACGCGGTCAACATCAGCGCGGAGCACAACCGATTCCAGAGGATGAGGATACGGCGCCGCCATGCCGCGGAGATATCGCCAGCCTGGGCTGGATGAGGCTCCAAGTTTTTTGCGCGCGGGCTTCCAGAGGCATAGCGAAGCCACGGCGCAAGGCCTGATTTTAGTCCCCTCTTTTTCAAGTAAATTCGGCTCGAAGTAGACTGTCTCCGGGTGAGGCAATGTGTGCTTTGTATGCAGCTTCGGCGGCGATCTCGGCTTGCTCCATTTCGTGTGTCCATATCTTTTTGGGGCTGTCACGGCTGCCGCGCGGGATATGGCGATCAGCCGCTCGCAAGATGCCTCTGCGGATGTACAACCATGTGGGCGCGGTGGCAGGGAGTGTTTCACACAACGAGGTGGAAGCAGGCCAATCCGCTTTGCGCAGAGCAAAGGTGGCTTCCTTCCGTCGAGGCAGCGTGTTGGCTAGTCGCGGAATGCCATCGCCCATCCCTACCGAGTAAGATATTCAGCAGTGGTCCTAATCCATGCAGGGAGTGGATGTCCGGTGGGAGATGCGTAGTACGCGATACGCAGTAACGTCAGAGGACGAGACATCACGATGTGTGATCCGTGTTGCCTGCGCCGGGTCATTTGCCAGTCCGAAATCCATATCAATTAAAACGGCGGCAAAGTTCTCTCCTCCAGTCGTTGATGGTATGTATGACTGTCCCAGAGCTCATGATGTCAATTCGGGTCACCCGCGATAATGGCTGCGGGGACGAAGCGACGGAAGATATTGATAAATGTAGAATCTTGAACAGTTTCCATGGGAGGGTTGTAGAGGTTCACCACGAAGATGCTGCGACATCCCTGATGAGTTGCACGGACAGCAATGGTCTCCAGGAGGTCAGTGCCAGGGAGCGACAGGCGCTCGCACGGTAGAGAGTGGCGCACCAGAATGGCAACGCCACCACCGCGCCCAGTGCGGGCCCGAAGGTAGTCATTATGGCCAGAAACTTTTGTCGCTACGTCACTGCGATTATTTATTTACTGCAGAAGAACGGTGTCAGTTTGATGCAGCTCCCATCCCGCAGCAAAAGCATTTTTTTTTACGGACGAGAGGCCTGCAATGTTAAGCCGCCAAACAGTGATGTAGCCATCCTCCTCGGTGCCAGAGTTCTTGTGGACGTCACCGCAACGGGTGATATCAACGGAGTGACCGCTTCAACTCCCCGCACCGGGCATGGCGTGGAACCCTCTCGAGGGTGGAGTCGTCTTGGTCTCCGTCGTGCTCGCAGCAACGCCCTGTTGCGGAGTTCTTGTATGCAACCAGAGCCCCAGCACCGCGACAATGCGCGACGCCATCGCTGGGGCCCAGGAGAGGCCGCAGTGCCTCCTGCTGTCATCCGGAATCTTTGTTGACGCCTTCTTGCGGACAAGCGCCCATTGTTTCTTCCAAACAACGCTGCACTCCCGCGACGCATCTTGCGCTGTGAGAGGCACGTCCCTCACCACAACCGGAGTCGCCCACGCGCCGTCGGCACGCACCACATCGTCAAGAAAAGAGCATGAATGTGTCAGGGTGACAGCAACGCCTCCGCTGGAGAGTCGAATCACAAACATCACCAGCAGCGCCGCAAGCCACGGGTTGCCGTGGACCAACTGACGCATGGCGTATGTCGAAGGAAAACTTAGTGCCTTCACAAGAATAAGAAAGAATAAAACTCTCCCAAAGAAATATGAGAATAACAATAAAAGATTAAAGTGTCCGCAGTAAACGCATGCCGCAAAGCAAAAAAAGTGGAATGGGTGCACTCAACCACAAAATCAAAAAGAAAAACAAAACAAAAAGCCGAAGCGTGGGACGACCAGCGCACACACACTCTCATTGCTCCCGTAAAGCAAAACACACACACAGAGGGAGAGAGAGAGAGGTCGCCCACTCAATGCAATAAAAACAAAACAGAAACAGTTACGGTGCTCCGCCCATGCAGCCAGGCAGGACGGCAGCGGTGCGTGTTGTGCAAAAGAGAGCACCAACGGGCCTGCATGGGTGTGCATGCATATATACAATGGGCACATTATTGTGTGTGCCTCGTGGGGTGAGGTGAGGGCGAGAGTCCATGCAAGGGGACACACACACAGAGAGAAGGAAGAGTGTGTGTGCGGGCGGTGCACGGCTCTCTCACACTCACTCTCACGCGGCCACCACTGCAGCAGCCGCACACGCAACAAGAAGAAGCAAAAGAGGGGAGGTGGTGTGGGAGACCGCGGTGCTGCTGTCACTGTCGCCAGGCATCGCTGTGCCACCTGGTTTGGAGTCTGTATTTGGTGCTGTTACCGAGCCTGCTGTCTCAGAGGCCACATTTTCTGTGCTGTCAGAGTCTTTGTTAAAATCGTGGGTCTTACTGATCGGTGTGGCGTCCTCAATGGAGGGTCGGCTCAATTCATTGGCGGTAGGGTTGCCTTCTGTGCCAGCGTCAGACTGCACGGCCTTAACTGATTTAGAGCTGCTGTCATTCTGCTGTATATTCTCATTATTTGTTTCGCCACTTAATATTGTTTCATTTATGGTGTCCAATTTACCGTCCTGTTGGTGGACTTGTAAAGTGGCCGCGGTCGCAGGCAGGTGAGGGTTGTTTTGATGTTTTTCGTTGTTGCCCTCTGCATCTTTTTGGATGTCAACAACACCTTCCCTTAAGGAAGATGGTGACGTTTCTTCTGCAGTTTTGTCAGACGCTGTCTTTCTTCCGGTTTCTTTGTTAATTTTGTTGTTTCCCGTTGGTAGGTTATTGGGGGTGTCGGCACTTTGTTGTAACCCAGTTTGCGTGGCCTGAAGAGTTGTTTCCAGAGAGCCGGAAGGAGACTTGCTCCCCGTAGATGGAGCTGGCTGGAGATGCTGCTGCGCACTGGCAACTGGTCTCGCATTCGGGACACCTGGACCATCTTCAGCTTCTTCTCCTTGATCTTTACGCGGTTCTGTTTCGACGTTGTGTTCATCTCTTATTTCTTCTTCTTCTTCTGTTTCCTCCTTATCATCCTCTTCTTCCTCGGCGTTTACTCCGGAAGGTGTTCCTGCGGGGTTTTCTGAATTATTTACATTCACTTCTGGTTTTGTTTCTCCTTGCAGTTTTTCTTTACCATCTTGGGGTCCTCCATTACCAGCGTCACCAGTCATCTCGGTAATTCCCTGAGCAACCGTGTCGGCAGTGGGCAAATCTGGCACAGACACCGTGGGAGCTTCTTCACCAAAACCACCGCCGGCACCGCACCACAGCACGCAGAGGGCACACACCAGCAGCACACGGCCAGTCATCATCATCGCCATCACTCCTCTCGCTTACGTGCAGCCTTCAGCACAAACCAACACGTCAACGCAGAGTGAAAGGGAAAGGAGAGACACGGCCGCTACTCCACGCACAGCAACGAGTGGCAGCACTCCAGAAACACGCACGTCGAGGCAGAGGAAATCAGTGCGATTGAAGAACTCGCACACCGCACTGCAAACAAGAAGTTAAGCAAGGAAAAAAAAAGTTGAGTGTCCGGCAGGACTCTCGGAAAGAATAAATAAAATTCATTCGGCAGGAGATTTATTTTATTTCCCAAGCGGCACAATAAGAGCATGTGTTTGTGTATACATATTGCCCGCATTGAATAAAAAAGACTTTACTCTTCCACCAGCCCACACAAAACGCTCTTCACACTTCATTGCGGCATCCGGCCTGTTCCTCCGCTCCTCCTTTCGTGCAGTCCGTGGGACGCACAGCAATGAGGCCGGCACCGCGTGTGGGCAACAAAAGACAAGAGGAGAAGCACGTCACCCATGACAGTGTGAAGCAACCGACCAGTAAATAATAAAGTAACAGCAAGGATACTTTATTATTCCAGGAAAACAACGTCAAAAACAGTAAAATGTAAATAATAAAAGAAAACACGCATGGAACGCGGCACATGTTCTCCGTGAGGAGTCGCAATTCCACACTCTTCGGCTCACAAGTCCGCCACAACTCCACACAATCCCAGAAGAAGCAGCCACTCCCAATACACGCACACACGCACAGTGCTGCCAACAGTTAACTCTCGCAGTGTCAATTTCGCGTCGTTGCGCAGGGCAAAGCAGCCGTCGGGACTCAAACCGTTTCCGGAATACTGCGCGGTGAATTCTCTTAATTGGGGCTCTCGTGTCCAGAGGCATTGCGTTGAGTCAATCCGTCCGCATCACCCTCAGCAACAAATCCACTGCCTGCAACGCCATTTTCTAAAACGAGAGTCTTGTGTCCAGTGGCGTCGTGCTCATTCACCTCGTCCGTGTTATCCGCAGCAACGTGTTCCCTGCCGCCACAAGTGACAGACATGATCCCGGATGCATTCGACGCCAATAATATTCTCGGACCGTTGGCAAAGGAAGGCCTCTTCTTGGATGCATTCGGGACCATCACTTCGTTCGGATTGCTGGCAAACTCAGGCCTCGTCCCGGACGTGTTGGTCGCCGTGTTGGATGCGGGACTCGGATCGACGGTGTTGGGTCCGTCAGCCGCCGCAGACTGTCGCCAATCCTCGTTCTGACGTGACGGCTCAGCATTCACTTGCGGCGCAGTTGTCCCACCAGATTTCGTGTCATCCTTCCCTCCACGGGGTGGCGGCAACTGACAGATGCCCGTCCGGTCAGCATCGCTGCTCCGTGCAGGCGGATGGATGGCTCCATCGGGGAAATTGACGCCACCACAATTCATAAGGGCCGGCGTATTTATGTGTCGTCACATTCATCGTGAAGGCAACGGTGGCCCATTCCTCTTTCGTTGCACAGCTGGCAGCACAGTTGCTACATGTGTGCACCGCACTGACCACATGGCACACAGCACCCAGCTCACCATCTCTGCTACGCATTCGCACACCAAAGCCACTGAAAGTGTAATTCTCATGCTGAGCCTCAGCACTGGCAGCAGAACACTTTTTCCACGCCACACACACGCGATAGCTCAGGCTGCCGTCACTCGGAGCACACGACACATCCACCGGCACAACCACCGCATCCGCATCACCAGATACATCTCCAGCACTCCCAACAGCCGTCACACACACGGAGCAAGCACCCACCACAACAGCCACACGCGCCAGTGCACCCTCATCCATCCATGACGCGGCACCAAAATTTCCCGCCATCCCACCCTCAATGGGACACGGAGCCCAACTCAACGCAGCCACACGCGGTGCATCACACCCACAGGAAAAGGGACTCGGGCTGCGCACTCCCTCTCCCTTCTCCTCACGGCCACGGAAGAAGAAAACAGCCGCCACACGCAACTGCCAGCATGCACTACAAAAGAAGCATTCAAATCCACTGCAATGTGCATCTTGTGTGTGTGTGGTTGTGTGTGCCTGCAGAAACACAAAGCAAAGAAGTAGAAAAGAGGGAGCAGAGTATGTGGAGAGACGCAAAAAAAATGTACAGCGGAGACGCATAACGGAAACAACAAGAAGACCGCTCAAACTCATGACTGCAGTGCAGCCCAAGCAGCGGCAATTCACAAAATTCATTTAAAACAAAAAAGCTTTCCCCCTCGTCTTATGTAAACCCCATCACACAAAATAATTATAAATAAAAAGAAATCGTCCATTACTGTTCCACACACACAAATTTAAACAACTGCTGCCGTGTGGTCACACCAAACTGTCTGTAGATATTTTGCCCGCAAAATAAAATTTAAAATTATATTTAAATGTCTTTCAGCCGTCCGACCCTCCGTGTGTCCGCACAGCGTTTATATTTCATGGGGTCATCTGCGTGTTGCTGCTCCCCTCAGCCCTCTCATCGGCGTGCGAGTGCGGCCCGCAGAGCACAGTCACTCGTGTGTGTGGGGACTGAGAGAGGCACGCAGACATGACGGGAGTCGCGTCACTCCATCGGGAGAGTGAGCGCAGCAAAAGAAAAAAATCATCGGAGGGGAGAGAAATGCTCACGAGGCCGACACCGAAGGGACTGCCGGCGCATGAAATAAATACGCGAAGCAAAACAAATCCTTAAAGAAAAACACGGCGGCAGGGTGTGGCTGTGTGTGTGTGGCGCTGCGGGTGTCTGCCCGCCCTGGCCGCAAAACAAAAACAAAACAAGAGGGAAGAAATGTGTGCTCCGCCCCACAGGCCCTCGCCGCACGCCCACACGTCACGGCTCCCTCAGCGCGCCGTTCGTCGCCGCCCCTCCTCATGCGTGCAGCAGGCGAGGCGCACAGGGCCGTCGTCATGAGCGTGTCGGTGGGTGTGCGAGTGGAGCAGTTGGGCGGCAAACACACGGCACCCCTCGCAGGAAGAGTGCGGAAAGAAACAATTAAAGAGGGAAGAGTAGAAAAGAAAGACGTCCATAGTGATTGCCCCAAAAGCATAAAAAGTGTTGGGGGTATGATGGATTAGAAATAAAAACAGAAAAGAATTTTTAAAAAGAAAAGACGCCCAATCGCACAAGAAAGAACAAAGAAAAAAAGACAAATAATCTAAAATCGCACAGCAAAGCAGACAAGGAGAAAAGTTAATAAAAGTTATTTAACGAGAGAAGTTCATTACCAGGTGTGTGTGTCGCTGCTCGGAAGGTCGCAAGTGCTCCACGCGGCAGCCAGTCACGCCTCACAGAGACGCAAACCACCACAGTCCCAACAGAAGCAGAAGCAGCGATGGCAGAAGTCCGCTCCCACGCATGCTGCCAGCATCACCCGTTGCTTCTCCAACGGCATGAGACTTCGAAGCCGCCGCCTTCTCCACACTTCCCTGCGATTTATTCGCCGGCATTTGCTGTGTAGTGGCTGATTCCCCCACCGTTGTATTTTTTTGTGCTTCACGTTCTTGTGGAGGCTGCTGCGAGGTCGCTTGCTTCACTGGAGCCTCAGAAGCCGACGCAATATCTTCTTCCAAATCGGCAATCCCACCAGTAAATGCCAACGGGCGGTTGTAAAGCAGGACGTTTCTCACAGTCACAGACACACCTTCGGCACCCGCTGTGTTCTCTGCATTGACTCCATCCCCTCCAATGTAGAAGTGTGAGATCCCCTTCGATTCTGCATTTTCCAAGTCACTTTGCACACTCTCACACACACGCTGACCATCGACGTACACGGAGCCCTGGGTGCCGCTCTGTAGCACAATGGCCACTTGGTATTGTCTCTGTGGGTCCCAAGTGCCTTTGAGCCTCTTGGTTGTTCCGTCACAGCACAGCGCCTGCCACTTCTTTCCACTGCCGTACGACAACTCCATAATTTTGATTACTCCGTCACTGCCTGCACGCACACCCATCAAAGGGACGCTGCCACTTTTCGGCTCACCGTCGATGGACACCGTCGCCACAAGAGTGAAGTTGTAGTTCGCAAAGTGGTACAGCTGATTCTCCCCCTGCGCGCCAACGGGCCACTCAGCCCCTGCGCCACGCCCTGTGAACTTCACGCCATCGGAAGGCTCTGCCTTTGCTGCTGCACCGTTCTTCACTGTGGCGTTCACCCCGAGGTACTCGTCCCTCCATGTGTTATCAGAGAAGCTGCCGGACAAAAAGCCAACCAGCCCAGCCGTGATCTTATCAGCGCTGCAGGCAGTGTCAGCTAAGGGATCCTTCTGAGCAAGTGAATTGGTGCACAGGTGGGAAACACGTTTGTCCACTTTCTTCCACGTCTTCAACACCTCCCTCACCCGCTGCAGCTGCTCAGTCAGACGCACAGAGACCATACCGAGTGATTCCTCCTCATCGCCATTCTTCTTCTCGTATAGTGCAATCAACTTCTCCTTAATATCTTTATTATTACCACTTGTACCACTTTTGTACAACAGGGAGCTGGCGGCAACATCGTCTCCTTCCACAGACACCGGCCCAATATCAACAATGTGCGTATTGTCCGTCAGCCAAAGACGGAGTTCACCCTTTTCCTTTCCATTTTCTTCGCTCTCAGTCTTGTCATACACCGGCAGAGTGACGAGCATCACGTCCCTGTTCTCAATCTTCGCTTTGCTGAACCCGCTTCTAACGCGCTTCACATTTCCCTCGTGTTTGTTGCCCCACACGCGCGAGAGTGTACCGAGTGCCTCCGTCCACGAATCCCCCTTGTCACCGGACTCGTACACCCTACGGCGGCCATCATCACACGCAGTCATCATCATGAGTTTTTTGTCCTTCCACTCCACAACGGAGGGATCACCGCAGCCACCGTCAGACATCCCCTTCGACAGATTTCCACCCCCAGTGGCTGAGGAGCGTATGATCAGCGAAACGGTCGTTCCATTCTTCTTCGTGCCTTCCACGGGCAACACAAGCGTACCGTCCTTCATCCGAACACCCGATCCACCGCCGCCAATCAGCCCTGTCAATGACTCGTGTTCTTTTTCAAAATCAGTCCACGGGATAACGGAGGCGTCTTTCCAACAAATTTTTTTTTTTGTTGCTGCTCTCATCATTACTGACGTTTCCCACAGCCACCAAAAGTCCCCATTGAGCTGCTGCAGCTGTCTGATCAGAGCCTTCAGTAACTTCAAAAGTGTAGTTTCCAGCAAACATGTAAATATCACTTCCCTTCACAACTGTTGTTGGTCGGCTCACGCGTACTTTTGTCCGGCCTTGGGAAGCCTCCTGATCTCCTGCTTGGGAGGCACAATTCTTTTTGTCGGATGGACATTCCTCCAGCACTTGTGTCTTCAGTTTAGTTGCATCCAACTCCCCTTTTGATTCTTCATCGGTCCACTCCAGAAGCTCCGAGGCAATCCCAGTAAAATTGCTTTCTCCCTCCTTCAACTGCGCCTCGGCAACAGCAAACACATCACCATCTATCTCAACAAGACCGGGAACACGGAGCAAACCCACTTTTTCTCCCTCTTTCACGTCTCCCCAAACAAAATGTGTTTTCGGTGAAGATCCCTTGCCTGAATTTGGCTGCTTTTCATCAGCGGCTGCAGCTCCACCGGTGCCGCAGCACATCATCACGACGAGGAGGAGCAGCACCGCAGAAGTAAACACACGCCGGGACATGTTGGGCCTCCGCGGCTCACTCTCTCTTCCTTCCCTCCTCCTTCCGCTGGATCCGGTCACGCGGCGACGGTTGTGTGTGCGGGGTGCCTTCACTGCAGCAACACGTGAGACCATATAAATATGTGTGTGTGTGGGCGGTGTGTGTGCTGTTGGTCCTTTCAGAGTCTTCCAATTTCACAGTAGCGAGTAGCGCTTGTTTACTTTCTTTGTGTGATTGAGAAAGAAAGGAAAAAGAAAAACAAAATGAGGTACAACAATGAACACCGTCACCCATCCACAGTGAGTGGCATCATCATCCGCACTGCAGTCGCTCCCAACAACAACAACTCACGCACACAGACACACGGAACAGGAGAAGAAGGAACAGTGCACCGGGAACACACAGCGACTGCCACCACCAGCAGCAGGAGTCACGGCGGGTGTGTTGTTCTTCTTCACGCGTCAGCACGCACCAAGCAACATGTCAAAAAAAAACAAAATGCAGGCTTTTTCCCCCTCACGAGGGCCTCCGCAGCCACAATCCTGTGCGTGCGTGCATTCTCAGCGTTTTAAACACGGCATGTGTGTGCATGTGCTTGTGTGTTTGGCAGCGCCTATACTTGCGGAGCAGCTGTGCGCCACAAGAGAGTCTGAAGAAAGCAACGGCAGAGAGAGGCAGATAGCACACATGCAAATTACTCATATCATCACACACACACACACGCAGCCGCGGAATGAGTGCACTCAACCACAAAATCAAAAAGGAAAACAAAACAAAAAGCCGAAGCGTGGGACGACCAGCGCACACACACTCTCATTGCTCCCGTAAAGCAAAACACACACACAGAGGGAGAGAGAGAGAGGTCGCCCACTCAATGCAATAAAAACAAAACAGAAACAGTTACGGTGCTCCGTCCATGCAGCCAGGCAGGACGGCAGCGGTGCGTGTCGTGCAAAAGAGAGCACCAACGGGCCTGCATGGGTGTGCATGCATATATACAGTGGACACATTATTGTGTGTGCCTCGTGGGGTGAGGTGAGGGCGAGAGTCCATGCAAGGGGACACACACACAGAGAGAGAAGGAAGAGTGTGTGTGCGGGCGGTGCATGGCTCTCCCACACTCACTCTCACGCGGCCACCACCGCAGCAGCAGCCGCACACGCAACAACAAGAAGCAAAAGAGGGGAGGTGGTGTGGGAGACCGCAGTGCTGCCGTCACTGTCGCCTGTACGTGCTGTGTCATTTGTTATTGCCGCGGCTTCGACTGGTGTTTCCTTCCTGTTGCCATGTTTATTGTCACCTCGTTTTGCACCTTCTGTTACTGCACTGTTAGCTGTAGGGTTATTCTTCGGCAATCCTATTTCAGTGCCCCTTTCTGCGTCAATATTAGAGGCATTACCAACAGCTAAGTGTCGTGGTTGTGTTGATTCAGAATCGCCGTCAGATTCACCATTCCGTTCTTTTAGTGCGACGGAAACATTTTCCTTTTTTTGTGAATCATTGTTTGGCTCCACGCCGTCATTGACTCCTTGAGACGTTTGCTCTGGCACGTCATCTTCACTGCTTAGCTTTTCTTTTTCTGGTTCTGCTCTGGGGTTTTCCACTGGTTTTTCATTTGTTTTCATTGTCGCTGCTGGTGCACCTTGCAGTGAAGCTGGTGGTGCTGCTCCATTTCCCTGTGTTGATGCTGGCGGCAATAAAGATGCTGGCGGTGATGGTTCGCCAGTTCCTGGTCGTTCCCCTTCTGATGGCGTTGTTGCTGATGAGTGACCTCCCACTTTCGCCGAACCATTGCCTGCCTGTCTTGCTTGTCCTTCGCCACCTTGTCCATCCAGCGGCGCTTTCCGTTCTTCAAGTAATTCTCCACTTTCTTCTGCACTTCCCCCTATTTGTTCTTTCTCTGCTTCTCCTTTGTGGTCCATTGATTTGTCGGCCGTTGGTGTTTCTATTTTCGGATCCTTCCTCTGATTACCAGCCGCTTCTTTTTTTGAATCCAACGGTTCCCCCACGTTTTGGAGCCCTTGACTGACTTGGTCTGAAGATTCCTGTTTTCCGTTATTTCTGCCTGCGGGTTCAGACGGTGAACCCTTTGCTGGACCCTGGCTTACATCGGTATTTTCAGAATCATCGGCCTTTGACACTTCCATCGCACATACACCGCACCACAGCACGCAGAGGGCACACACCAGCAGCACACGGCCAGTCATCGTCATCGCCATCACTACTGTCACTTGCGTGCAGCCTTCAGCACAAACTAACTCCTCGTCAACGCAGGGCAAAAGGAAAAAGGAGAGACAAGTCACACAACCACGCCACAGCGACAAATGTTAACACCCCAGCATAAGCAGCGCACACCACGAGATAAATGGAATCAGTACAATTGCAGAACCTTCAAACAGCCCTGCAAACCAGAAGTTTAAAAGCAAGCAATAAAAAACAGTAATTAAAAAAAGAAAACAAAACTACACTCAGGGCTCTGCTGCGCATCCATATGAGTGTGTCCGCGATGCGTTCGACATGACGGATGTGGGGCACAACGCGGAGCACACAGCAGCTGCGCAGCAGAAGCAAACAAAGCAAAAAACAATCATCGTAATTACTCTTACTTTGTACATCGGACCACAGTGGACGTGCAAATCCCCGTGGCTGAGTGCTGGCACGCACAGCCCACACACACCTCTTCAGCCCACAGCGGTGTACGCCAGCGCGGATACGGCGAGCAGCAGCGGGGCACACACCCACGCAGAGCTGCTGAGGCTGCCGTCGATTTCGCGAAGACGTGACGGTGCGCGGGTCGTCGTGGTGGTTGGCGTCTCTGTAGACGTAGTAGTACTTGGTGCCTCTGGCGCAGTGGTGGTTGTCGTGGTCGTCTTGGCAGAAGCTTCGGCGTTCTGACCTGCTTTCTCTACGGCTGTACTCGTGTCACTTTTTGTCTCTGTCATACCGTTCTTAACTTCTGTCGCTAACACATTGGGCTTCACATTTAATTGTGGTCCAGGAACGGTCGTAACTCCTCCATCTCCAAGTACGGCAGTATTTCCCTTCTCCCCACCGGACTCCTCACCTTTCGGACCTGGTTGACTGAGCGTCAGGGTTGCTGCCTGTGTTGCAGTCGTTTTCGTGGTCTTCTGGGAAGAATCTTGTTCCGCCAGCTCAGTGTCCGATGCATTGGATGAGCAGCAGCACAGGGCGAGCACCAACAGGGCGCACAGCAGACGGCACGTCATCATCATCGTGAGTGTGGTCGTTCAGTGGTGTGAAGCTGATCTGCACAGTGAGGAGCATGGAGAGCAACAGGGGAGACGAGAGGTGCGGCAGACACACACAGAGGGCACACCACATGAGGAGAGGGCAGCAGCCAGGCATGCACCGTACGCCGCACACCACGCACGACACACACTCCAATCCACGGCAACACGCACACACACACAGCCCTGCCGCACCACCAACACACAGATGGAGGAGGGAGAAGCAAACAGGAGCGGCACACAAGGCTCCACCGCATGCACACACGGCGAGAGCGGTCCGTCGTGCCTGCACCCCTCACGGAGGGTGCGCACACACAAGAAGGTGCAGCGCACACAGCAACACAAAAGCAAAGTGACAATAAAAAACGAATATCCCCGCACACCACGTGGATTGTTGGTCCACGGGAAGTGCAGCCAATATTCATCACAAAGCAACTTATTCTCTTGTTTTGTTGTATGCTGTTACAATAACGAGTGAGTAGCGCAAGAGCCGTCCGTACAAAAGTGGCGATTATGCCGTCGCAAACGGGCCGTCGTGCAGTCTGGGGCAGTCCCAAACAGTCGCAGTCCATATTCTCAATGACGCTGGCATTCCCGCAGTGGGTGAAGCGGAGTCTCCCGTGGACCGTCGTGGGATCAGCAGCCCGTGGCGTCCGTGATGAGGCGGTGGCGGAAGTGCCTGGTCCATCTTGAGTGCCCGCATTTGTGCTTCCTGCGTGTCTTGCCTGCTGGCATGCCTGGCGACTTCGGTGGCAACCTGTGCGCGAGACGCCTGTTAGGAAGACGGTGAAACAATCGCGGCATCCGCATGGGAGGCTCTCTCAAACCATTGGAACGCCAGGCCGAGCACGTCGGGCATGTGCCCTCATACTGTGGACGGAAGAGCGCGCTCTGCCGCAGATTGGGCGGGAGGACGTCAATCCGCCGCTCGCTGGTCGGAAAGGAGTCGCGATGCTCACGTCGGGAAGAAGCTCCGGGAGAGGCGGGCCATTCTCCTCAGTGTGAGAGAGCGGCACCACTGACACAGAGAGGGTCCCTTGTGATCCGCAGGGCGAGCGCAGGCCTGGCGAAGAGAGGGCAGGAGTTGCATCGCGCCTGCGCGCGGTGCCGCCACTCGGGGCACGATGTCCGGGCCAACAGCAGGAATAGAGCCCTCGCCACACCGAGAAACGCCTGTCACGCGGTGTGCGCGCCTTCCTTTTCCTCCTGGGCATCCTTCAAGTTCCGTCGCCTGACTGCAGTGAGGAAGCCCACGTGCCAGGCATTGACGCAGTCCTGCGGGAGGGATCGTGGCATGACGGCGTCACCGTCCGCTGTCACGCTGCGTGGGATTCCGCAGTGCCAGGGGAAAATGTGGAGAAAACTGCGCGACCTCGATCCGCCAGTGAAAGCAGCACGGTACAAATAGCCTCGGTGAATTCGTCGTGCGCCGCCAGCGGGCCAAGGCATAGCGCCTCCATCGCCGAGAGGGTATCTGTGGCAGCAGGGGCTCGTGTGGGCGATGGGGACGATGCTGCTGCCAGCGGCTGCGCGGTGAGGCCCCACAGGGAGCTCGGCTGTCCGGGGAGTAAAGCGGCAGCGCGGCGGATCCAGACACACGATCCAATGGATGCGCAGGCCGCCTCAACGGCCAATCGTCTGACACCGTCCAAAGCGTCCTTGGCGTGCCGTGGTTGGAAGACGCCCAACCCGCTGCGGCTCACAGTGCCCCAGACAACAATGCGGTGCTCAGCATGTGGGGCGTGGATGTGGCGCGGGGAGATCTCCATGTGGCGGCGGACGCGTCGCAGTCCGTTGAGGACGGCATCTCCCGGCAGAGAAATGGTCGTCGCTGCCTTCCAATGTATTGACGACGGCATGGCTTCCAAGCAGATTGCGCCACGCACGCCCTCAATATACCGGAGACGCGTGAGGCGTTCGTGCTGTGTGGTGCGCGGAATCCAATGATCCTCCGCAGCGGTGCTGGACTGGCGGCCAGGTGGGCAGAAGCATCCTTCGATGATGCGCGTGGGCCGAGCGATGCTGTGCAGCTGTCGCGGTGCCACACTCCCAGGCTGTGGAGGTGAGTGGGAGCTGGACACGGTGCGACTGCCTCGCCGCCGTGGTGCAGCGCACTGTGGACGCATCCGACGAGGCAGGATCGCATGGTGTGCTGGGACGCACCAGCCTCTGCGCCCAGCCGCGGCTGACGGCGGCGTGGACGATCTACTTTGTTGTCTGTGTGAAGAATTTTCCCGTTCTTTACATTGTCTTACGGGCCGATGGTGCGTTGGCGTTTTTTGATTTGGTAGGAGACTTGCGTTTCCGAAGAAGCCGTTGCAAGTGTTCAGCGTCGTTGTGAATAACAGATGTGCGCCTGTCCCCGTGAAGGCAACAACAACGACCGCGGATGACAGCAGGAGGCACTGCGTCTTTATTTGGAAGAGTGTTTTAATTGCGTTTGTTGGGTCATTTGTGGGGAAGGTGGGAGGCTGAGTGCATTAGGACTGAATTCATTTGTGTGGCTGCGCTCCGTTGACTTGCGGCCAGTCGCGGCACTCTTTTGGGGTTTGGCTGCTCGTCTCTTTTGTTTACTTCCCACCGCAGCACGTGGAGGCCACTGATCCGAGGAACTTTTGTTTGACTGCGTGTGGGCTGCTGCCGTGAGGAGGTGCATTGAGTGACGAATACTTCTGTTTGGCGTGTCGCGGTGTGTCGGAATGATGTTTGGAAGACATGTGGAGGGTGCTGTGTGTAGTTTGTGTGTCTTCTCTCTGGTGGAGCCGACATGTGTGCGGGATTGTGGCATTGCTGGCTGACAGTTCCACGTCGCTTTTCAGCATTCCTGGATGTGCTGAGGAATGACGGCTGGCGACCAGCGTGTTGGTGCTGCTGGTGGGAATAAGTGCATCGGGAATAGGCCGTTTTCTCTTTTCCGTGCTGGAGCCGACTAACTGGCACGAGGGCACCGGCTGCAGGCTGCCTGCCAGCACGTGTGAGCAGCGGATCCATGCACACACCGACGCTCATCGCAAGAGCGTGTGCGATCACAGTGGCCTTTGTGGCGTGCTTTTATGGACGTCAGCCCACCGAAGAATGTGTGAAGCAAACGGCTGACTGCACACGAGGAGAATAAGTGCGTGCACTGTGCCGTGTTTCAGCGTCGATGGCGGAGCGGCAGGAAGCCCGTGCTGGCAGCTGAGATGTTTGCGTCGCGAGGGATGTCGGTGTTGATTTTGGATCGTCGAGGGTGAAGTGATTTTGCTGCTGCCCGTGTGTGTGGCCACTCCGGCAGAGGGCGGACACAAAATGGAGGGATGCAGGCGCTGCGTGTGTGTGTGTGCAGGTGCCATGCAACAACGTCACAACAAACATGCTGCGACTCGGTGACCCTCACATCGCTGTGGTCCTCACGAACAGCCCAGGCACGGCCCACACCGATGCACTCAGTGGACGGAGTGAGGCATCTTTCGAGGCGCTGCAGGGAGCAGGTTGTGTTGACGCAGCCACGACGTGCATGGAGTGTCACGATGGTACAGTCAGCTGTGGCTGGTGGAATGTTTACTTCTCGGAGGCGAGAGAGAGAGAGGGCTGCTGGCGTCGTTGCTGCCTCTTGTGGCCTCTCATGCCGATTATTGTCTGTCCGCTGTTCATGTTGGTGTGCTTCCACTAGTGACGTCGTCTGCAGGCATTTCACAGCACCAGTGAGACACGCATCACGTCGCATGCTTTGGCTGTGGATGTGGTGTCGTGAGTACAGTCGGCATTATTCTGCCTGACTCCTTTTCACTGCCTTGCGGCAAATAGATGCGTCGCCACCCGAGTCATTCACTGCAGCTCCGTGTGTTGTACTGCCAGCACAAGACTCTCTTGTTGTCTGACGCCTGGCTGACGGTCAAACACCACAGCGTTGGGACATGCAAGGATGTGGACTGCCGCTCACGGTGTTGGGCACCGCTGTTTGGATGCGGCGGCCACACGAGCGGATGTATTGTGGCACAATCAAATGCGTGAAGTACGCAGAATCACAGCGGCTGCAATAATATCAGCGGTGTGGCACCACGGAATGTGAGGGGGTGATGCATGATGAATCACAGTGGGCGGCATGCGAGGGAAGCGCACCGCGACGGAGCGTCATCCCGCCCTCAGCCTGCAGGGGAATGTGCACCCACAAAATATATGGACGAGACACCACCAAACACACATGCCCTTCCATGCAGCAATAAATAGGAGCGAAGGTGCGTTCTGGTGCGTGGGAGTCCACTCACATATTTTCATTCCCACCGCAATAAACGGTGAGGAATCAGGTGCCACAGCAACGAAAGGAAAAACAAACATCTATTGCAGCACTTTACCAGCGAAAGGCAGGAGCAACACAAACCGAATTGTTGGCTGCACCAACACACGAAACATTCACCAGAAGAAAAAAAGATGGGCATCCTGCTGTAATCCTCAACACACGACCCAGGCATGAAGGTTTGCCCTCCGCAAAGCACAAGAACATATGCAGACATCTGCCAACATCCATACAGAAACACAAATAAACGGTTGCTTGCTTCATTCCATTCACTGCGAGCATTTTTAGTTGTGCTGCTGCTGCGGTGGTGTCCAGGCCTGCATGAAGTGGTGTGCGCTGAATATGAACGAAGGCCAAAGGCAACCGAACTTTTTTTATGAACGTTGGCTGCACTTCCCGTGAACCAACAATCCACGTGGTGTGCGGGGATATTCGTTTTTTATTGTCACTTTGCTTTTGTGCTGCTGTGTGCGCTGCACCTCCTCTTGTGTGTGTGCGTACCCTCCGTGAGGGGTGCAGGCACGACGGACCGCTCTCGCCGTGTGTGCATGCGGTGGAGCCTTGTGTGCCGCTCCTGTTTGCTTCTCCCTCCTCCATCTGTGTGTTGGTGGTGCGGCAGGGCTGTGTGTGTGTGCGTGTTGCCGTGGATTGGAGTGTGTGTCGTGCGTGGTGTGCGGCGTACGGTGCATGCCTGGCTGCTGCCCTCTCCTCATGTGGTGTGCCCTCTGTGTGTGTCTGCCGCACCTCTCGTCTCCCCTGTTGCTCTCCATGTCCCTCACTGTGCAGATCAGCTCCACACCACTGAACGACCACACTCACGATGATGATGACGTGCCGTCTGCTGTGCGCCCTGTTGGTGCTCATCCTGTGCTGCTGCCGTTCCTTATGCTTTGCGCAGGATTCTGAAAAAGTTCAAGCTCCTGATTTTACTTTAACCGCAACCGTTACACCGTCCTCTCCATCAGAGGAACCGCGTCAGGAGGCCGGTGAGTCAGAGTCGCTAAATCCGGGGGCCGATATGCAAAGAGGAAAAGCTGTCTTAAATGGAGATAGAGGGCGTCCGACCGGTCCGAATCCGCAAACAAATGACGTTTCCATTACGGCACCGATAGAAGGTACGGACGATACGACAGGGACACAAAGTCTCACGCACCCATCCCCAGAAAAAGCAGGTCAGAACGCCGAAGCTTCTGCCAAGACAACCACGACGTCTACAACACACGCACCAACTACGACCACGACCACCACCACGACCACCACTACGACCGCTGCGCCAGCCACGACGACCACCCGCGCACCGTCACGTCTTCGCGAAATCGACGGCAGCCTCAGCAGTTCTGCGTGGGTGTGTGCCCCGCTGCTGCTCGCCGCATCCGCGCTGGCGTACACCGCTGTGGGCTGAAGAGGTGTGTGTGGGCTGTGCGTACCAGCACTCAGCCACGGGGATTTGTGTGCGTCTACTGTGGTCTGATGTATAAGGTAAGAGTAATTATTATGATCGTTTTTTGCTTTGCTGCTTCCACTGCCGTGCTGTGTGCTCCGCGTTGCTGCCCCACGTCCGGCACGTATCCCAAACACACTCATATGCACGACAGGCAAAGAACTTTTTGTGTGGACTCATGTTGGAGGTTAAGTGTATGAGCACTGGATCCATTTAATGCAGCTCTTGTTTTTACTGTTTTACTTTATTGCTCTTGTTTACTTTTGTTTTTTCTTGTTTGTGTGTTTTTCTTTACGTGCAGCGCATTGTGTCTTTTTTCACTTTCATTGATTTAATATTTCTTATGAAATGCATGATGCTGCCGGTTGTGTTTTTTACTGTGCATTTATTTCACTCTGCGTTGACGTGTTGTTAGTTTGTGCTGAAGGCTGCACGCAAGTGAAAGGAGTGATGGCGATGATGATGGCTGGCCGTGTGCTGCTGGTGTGTGCCCTCTGCGTGCTGTGGTGCGGTGCTGCTGCGGCTTCTTCTGCTGCTGGAAGAGAGGATGTCGTCACGGAGGAAGATGAACAGACAAGGACTACGGAGGTTCTGCCGTCCGGGGGAAAAAATAAATCACAGGTGACTTCAGTAGAAGAATCGACAGGTAAAAAAGCAGGAAATGTAAAGACGCCAGAGAATTCTCAAGCCGCTATTTTGTCAACTACAAACGGACCTTCAGATAAAAAACAAGAAGATGAGAAAAAGAAAAAGGAAAAAGAGGGGGATACGAAAGACGGCGAAGATGAAGGAAAAGGGGAGGAAGAACGAGAGAAAATTGAAAAACCACCTACACTACCACCACCTTCGGGACAAACATCAACACCGACAACAAATGGAAATTCAGCAGGAACCTCAAATGAAACAAGAGCGAAAGAAATGCCCAGCACGGATAGGGACTCCACCCAGGAACAAGTGCTCAAATCACCGGCAGCACCAACAGCAGCAACGCCAAAAGCAAAAAATGAAAACCCCGGCTCTGCAGACGCCGTTTTAGTGCAACAGGTACAGAAAGTTCAAAGCGGCCTGGAGTCAGGGACTGAGTCAAGAAAAGAAGAAAGTGTTCTCACCAAAAACAAACAACAGGATGGAACATTTGACAGCCATGCCGAATCAACTCCAACATCACGCTCATCAGAAAAAAGTGTTGCCGCCAGCAACGGCCCTGACAAGGCTACTGAAGACGAGATTTCCAATAAGAATACAGCAGGTGTTGATGCAGTACCAGAAGCAGCAAAAGATGATGGAAATAAAGATGATAATAAAAAAGAAACACCAATAAAAACCACAGATATTGCAAACGGTACGGCTCCAACTGGCGACAGCGACAGCAGCACCGCGGTCCCCCACACCACCTCCCCTCTTTTGCTTCTTCTTCTTGTTGCGTGTGCGGCTGCGGCTGCTGCGGTGGCCGCGTGAGAGTGAGTGTGAGAGAGCCATGCACCGCCCGCACACACACTCTTCCTTCTCTCTCTCTGTGTGTGTCCCCTTGCATGGACTCTCGCCCTCACCTCACCCCACGAGGCACACACAATAATGTGCCCATTGTATATATGCATGCACACCCATGCAGGCCCGTTGGTGCTCTCTTTTGCACGACACGCACCGCTGCCGTCCTGCCTGGCTGCATGGACGGAGCACCGTAACTGTTTCTGTTTTGTTTTTATTGCATTGAGTGGGCGACCTCTCTCTCTCTCCCTCTGTGTGTGTGTTTTGCTTTACGGGAGCAATGAGAGTGTGTGTGCGCTGGTCGTCCCACGCTTCGGCTTTTTGTTTTGTTTTCCTTTTTGATTTTGTGGTTGAGTGCACCCATTCCGCGGCTGCGTGTGTGTGTGTGTGATGATATGAGTAATTTGCATGTGTGCTATCTGCCTCTCTCTGCCGTTGCTTTCTTCAGACTCTCTTGTGGCGCACAGCTGCTCCGCAAGTATAGGCGCTGCCAAACACACAAGCACATGCACACACACATGCCGTGTTTAAAACGCTGAGAATGCACGCACGCACAGGATTGTGGCTGCGGAGGCCCTCGCGAGGGGGGAAAAAGCCTGCATTTTGTTTTTTTTTGACATGTTGCTCGGTGTGTGCTGATGCGTGACGAATAACGACACACCCGCCGTGGCTCCTGCTGCTGGTGGTGGTGGCAGTCGCTGTGTGTTCCCGGTGCACCGTTCTTCTGCTGCTGTTCCGTGTGTCCGTGTGCGTGAGTTATTGTTGTTGGGAGTGACTGCGGCGGGGATGATGATGCCACTCACTGTGCATGGGTGACGGTGTTCATTGTTGTACCTCATTTTGTTTTTCTTTTTCCTTTCTTTCTCAATCACACAAAGAAAGCAAACAAGCGCGAATCGCTACTGTGAAATTGTAAGGCACTGAAAGGACCAACAGCACACACACCGCCCACACACACATATTTATATGGTCTCACGTGTTGCTGCAGTGAAGGCACCCCGCACACACAACCGTCGCCGCGTGACCGGATCCCGCGGAAGGAGGAATGAAGGAGGAGAGAGCGAGCCGCAGAGGCCCAACATGTCCCGGTGTGTGTTTAATTTCGCGGTGCTGCTCCTCCTCGTCGTGATGATGTGCTGCGGCAGTGGAGCTGCAGCCGCTGATGAGAAGCAGTCAGTGGCAGATCCAAATTTTGAATGGAAGGGCATCCCTAAGGATGTAACTGTGGAGTCGTTGGGTGCTCCCGGTCTTTTGAAAGTGGGAAGTGACGTATTTGCCGTTGCCGAGGCACAGTGCAAAAAGAGTGGTGAAAACAATGTTTTTACTGGCATTGCATCCCAAATTATCACGACACAAACCGCCAACACACCGGTGGAAGTTCTGAAGGATTCCAAAGATAAGACACAATTTCTGGAAGATGGTTCCGAAGATCCAAGGAAGAAAGTGGATGTGAGCCGACCAACAACAGTTATGAAGAGAAATGATATTTACATGCTTGTTGGGAAATACAGCCGGACAGCTGCTGGTGAGAAGAGCGGAGCAAATGATGGGGGATTATTGCTGGTGAAGGGGGAAGTCATTGATGAAAGTGGCGGTGGCAAAAGAATCAAATGGAAAGATAATGACGATGTCTCGCGGGCATCTGTTGGCAAACTAGAACCGTGGACAGGGATGACTGGCGGCGGTGGATCGGGTGTCAAGATGGAGGACGGTACGCTTTTGTTCCCAGTGGAAGGCACTAAGAAGAAGGGTGAAGCACAAAACGATGAAAAGGCCGTTTCTCTGATCATTCACTCCTTGAAGGATACTAAGAGTTGGAAGCTGTCGAATTGGATGTCTGACGGTGGCTGCGGTGATCCCTCCGTCGTGGAGTGGAAGGACAAACTCATGATGATGACTGCGTGTGATGACGGCCGCCGCAAGGTGTACGAGATCGGTGACAAGGGGGATTCGTGGACGGAGGCACTCGGGACACTCTCGCGCGTGTGGGGCAACAAAAAGGGCGTTAGAAGCGGGTTCATCACAGCGACAATTGACGGTGTTGAAGATAACAGAAACGTGATGCTCGTTACTCTGCCGGTGTATGCTAATAAGGCTGATAAAGAAGTAAATGTAAAGGGCAGACTCCATCTTTGGCTGACGGACAATACGCACATTGTTGATATTGGGCCGGTATCCGGTGGTGCTGTTGCGGCCAGCTCCCTGTTGTACAAAAGCAGTAAAAGTGGTAATGAGAAGGAGGAGTTGATTGCACTGTACGAGAAGAAGGACGAAGGGGATACGCCATCACTCGGTATGGTCTCTGTGATTCTGACTGAGCAGCTGGAGCGGCTGAAGGATGTGCTGACGACCTGGAAGAAAGTGGACGAACGTGTCTCTCAGCTGTGTGCCACTTTACTTGCTCAGAAGGATCCCTCAGCTGACACTGCCTGCACTGATAAGATCACGGATGGGCTGGTTGGCTTTTTGTCCGGCAGCTTCTCTGGTAACACATGGAGGGACGAGTACCTCGCGGTGGACGCCACAGTAAAGAACGGTGCAGCAAAGGCAGCAAAGACTTCCGATGGCGTGACCTTCCGGGGAGCGTGGGCGGAGTGGCCCGTTGGCGAGCAGGGGGAGAATCAGCTGTACCACTTTGCGAACTACAACTTCACTCTTGTGGCGACGGTGTCCATCGACAAGGTGCCGGAGGAGGGAGATACTCCCATTCCCGTGATGGGTGTGAAGAGGATGAAAGGTGATAAGAGTACTGTACTTCTGGGGCTGTCGTACAACAACAGAGAAAAGAAGCTGGAACTTTTGTCCAGTGGCGGGAAGGCGTCGGAGCTCAGCAGCAATTGGGAGCGAGGGAAAACACACCAAGTGGCCATCGTGCTACGGAAAGGCAACCAGGGCTTTGTGTACGTCGATGGTAGGCGTGTGGAAGGTGCGCCATTAGATTTGAAGGATAAAGGTTCGAAAGGGATATCACACTTCTACATTGGAGGGGATGGAGACAGCGCGGGGAGCCGAGAAGGCGTGTCCGTGACGGTGACGAACGTCCTGCTGTACAACCGCCCGTTGAGTGACATTGAGCTTACTGTGCTTAACACAATCAAACTTTCTATTCCACAAACAGCGGAAGAAGGAGAAACGGATGAAGGTACCGCTCTTGACGGTGGAGCACACGGTGATGCTGGCAGCATGCGTGGGAGCAGACTGCTGCCATCGCTGCTTCTGCTTCTGTTGGGACTGTGGTGGTTTGCGTCTCTGTGAGGAGTGACTGGCTGCCGCGTGGGACACTTGCGACCTCCCCAGCAGCGACACACACACCTGGTAATACACCTCTCTCGTTAAATAACTTTTATTAACTTTTCTCCTTGTCTGCTTTGCTGTGCGATTTTAATTTATTTGTCTTTTTTTCTTTGTTCTTTCTTGTGCGATTGGGCGTCTTTTCTTTTAAAAAACTCTTTTCTGTTTTTATTTCTAATCCATCATACCCCCAACACTTTTTATGCTTTTGGGGCAATCACTATGGACGTCTTTCTTTTCTACTCTTCCCTATTTAATTGTTTCTTTCCGCACTCTTCCTGTGAGGGGTGCCGTGTGTTTCCCGCCCAACTGCTCCACTCGCACACCCACCGACACGCTCATGACGACGGCCCTGTGCGCCTCGCCTGCTGCACGCATGAGGAGGGGCGGCGACGAACGGCGCGCTGAGGGAGCCGTGACGTGTGGGCGTGCGACGAGGGCCTGTGGGGCGGAGCACACATTTCTTCCCTCTTGTTTTGTTTTCTTGCGGCCAGGGCGGGCAGACACCCGCAGCGCCACACACACAGCCACACCCTGCCGCCGTGTTTTTAAGATTTTGTTTGTTGTTTTGCTTTTTTTGTTTATTTTACGCGCTGGCAGTCCCGTCAGCATTTCTTTCTCTCCTGATGATTTCTTTTTTTTTTGCTGCGCTCACTCTCCCGATGGAGTGACGCGACTCCCGTCATGTCTGCGTGCTTCTCTCAGTCCCCACACACACGAGTGACTGTGCTCTGCAGGCCGCACTCGCACGCCGATGAGAGGGCTGAGGGGAGCAGCAACACGCAGATGACCGCATGAAATATAAACGCTGTGCGGACACATGGAGGGTCGGACGGCTGAAAGACATTTAAATACCCTTTAATTTTCTTTTGCGGGCAAAATATGTACAGACAGTTTGGTGTGACCACACGGCAGCAGTTGTTTAAATTTGTGTGTGTGGAACAGTAATGGACGATTTCTTTTTATTTATAATTATTTTGTGTGATGGGGTTTACATAAGACGAGGGGGAAAGCTTTTTTTTGTTTTAAATAAATCTTTTGTGAATTGCCGCTGCTTGGGCTGCACTGCGGTCATGAGTTTGAGCGGTCTTCTTCTTCTTGTTGTTTCCGCTATGCGTCTCCGCTGTACATTTTTGTGCGTCCCTCCACATACTCTGCTCCCTTTTCTACTTCTTTGCTTTGTGTTGCTGCAGGCACAACAACAACACACAAGATGCACATTGCAGTGGATTTGGATGCTTCTTTTGCAGTGCATGCTGGCAGTTGCGTGTGGCTGTTGTCTTCTTCCGTGGCCGTGAGGAGAAGGGAGAGGGAGTGCGCAGCCCGAGTCCCTTTTCCTGTGGGTGTGATGCACCGCGTGTGGCTGCGTTGAGTTGGGCTCCGTGTCCCATTGAGGGTGGGATGGCGGGAAATTTTGGTGCCGCGTCATGGATGGATGAGGGTGCACTGGCGCGTGTGGCTGTTGTGGTGGGTGCTTGCTCCGTGTGACGGCTGTTGGGAGTGCTGGAGATGTATCTGGCGATGCGGATGCGGTGGTTGTGCCGGTGGATGTGTCGTGTGCTCCGAGTGACGGCAGCCTGAGCTATCGCGTGTGTGTGGCGTGGAAAAAGTGTTCTGCTGCCAGTGCTGAGGCTCAGCATGAGAATTACACTTTCAGTGGCTTTGATGTGCGCATGCGTAGCAGAGATGGTGAGCTGGGTGCTGTGTGCCATGTGGCCAGTGCGGTGCACACATGTAGCAACTGTGCTGCCAGCTGTGCAACGAAAGAGGAATGGGCCACCGTTGCCTTCACGATGAATGTGACGACACATAAATACGCCGGCCCTTACGAATTGTGGTGGCGTCAATTTTCCCCCGATGGAGCCATCCATCCGCCTGCACGGAGCAGCGATGCTGACCGGACGGGCATCCGTCAGTTGCCGCCACCCCGTGAAGGGAAGGATGACACAAAATCTGGTGGGACAACTGCGCCGCAAGTTAATGCTGAGCCGTCACGTCAACACGAGGATTGGCGATAGTCTGCGGCGGCTGACGGACCCAACACCGTCGATCCGAGTCCCGCATCCAACACGGCGACCAACACGTCCGAGACGAAGCTTGAGTTTGCTCACGTTTAAAATATCAAGTGACTCCGACACCACCCGAAAAAAGGCCCACGCCTGTCACCGAGCCAAAGGGGGATCTTATTGATGATGCGATGAGTGGCTCAATAAATGTTGAGTTACCTCCAGGGAGTCGATCTATTTGTTCTGCGGACGACGCTGGTGCAGCCGACAGATGGGATTGCTCCAGTTACGACGAGGGATTCATTTGCCTCACCCTCTCTCGTCAGTGCTGGTGGAGTAATTGCTGCTTTCGCCGAGGGTCACATGGATGCCGAATATCAACTTGGTCAATTAAGTAAGCCCTTTTCATCTGGTGTTGTTGCGGGGTACATCGACTCTGCGTGGAATTGGCCCACTGTTGTTGGTGAGGTCAATAAAAGGATACATGGATGGCACACACTGTACCTGGTGCAGCGGAGGGAGAGGAGAGTTTGGGTGTTGTGCTCCGCCCCACAACAATCACGAAGGGCAACGGAGTGTTTCCTCTTGCGGGAGGCTCTGATGTGTCCTACAAAGGTGGGTGTTGGAGAGAGGGCGGCTTGGAGCTGAAACTGTTTGTGGGCGATGTCACGAATCCCACGGGTGGCAAGCGGAGTGAACGGATCGGATGGGACGACCCCAAACCAATCCCGAAACGGATCTCTTCTGCTTCTCACGAAGGTGACTGGACGGAGTTCATTGCTTCTGGTGGCGCAGGTGTTCTGATGGAGGATGGCACGCTCGTGTTTTCTCTGATGGCGGTGAATGAGGCAGAAGACGTTTGCTCCACGATCATTTACTCGACGGACAGCGGCAGTGCCTGGGCGCTCTCTGAGGACATTTCCCCTGCGGAATGTCTTAACCCCCGCGTCACCGAGTGGGAGGGATCACTTCTCATGATTGTTGACCGCGAGGATGACCAGAGGGTGTGCGAGTCGCGTGGCATGGGGACAGCGTGGACGGAGGCCATCGGGACACTCTCAGCTGTGTGGGTCAACGCACGATCGGGAGTCCCTCGGAAGGAAAGCTTGCGCGTGGATGCCCTCATCACCGCGACCATTGAGGGAAGGAAGGTCATGCTGTGCACTCAGAGAGGGCATCCCTCGGGGAAGCAAAGGGCCACTGCGCTCTGCCTTTGGGTCACGGACAGCAACCGCACGTTTTCTGTTGGATTGGTTGCCGTGGACAGTGCTGCGGATTGGATGCTCGCCAGCACCCTGCTGCACTCGGATGGCAATTTGCATCTTTTACGACGGAGGGGCAACGGTGAATGCAGTGCCATTTCACTTTCCCACTTGGCGGAGGAACTGAGTACAATCGAGTCCGTCCTCAGCAATTGGACGCAAAAGGACATTTTATTTTCCAGGTTTTCTATCCCCACGGCAGGTCTGGTGGCAGTTTTGTCCGATGCTGCCAGTGACGACACGTGGAACGACGAGTAACTTTGCCTACATGCAACGGTGGAGGAACGCAGTGAAGGACAACGATGGGTTACAAGTGACGGGACTTGAGTCCAGGGCAATATAGCCCGTGAACACTCGGGGTGATAAAGTGCGTCATGTATCTTTGAGCCACGACTTCACACTTGTGGCGTCGGTGACCGTCGAAGAGGCTCCGAGTGGGAACACGCCTCCACTGACTGAGGTGCTGGCGAACACTGAGTCCAATCACACCGTGGGACTGTCGTGCAGCCACAAGAAGAAGTGGGAGACGGTGTGCGAAGGCAAGACAGCAACACGGAGCAGCACTTGGGGGCCGAAGGAAGAATAACAAGTGGCACTCATGCTGCAAGGCAACAAGGCTTCTGTGCACACTGATGGTCATTTGCTGGGGGAGGAAGAGATGCTGATAACGGGCGAGAAACCACCTGAGGTACTGAGGTTTTGCTTTGGCGCGTGCGGTGGGCACGAATCTCATGTGACGGTGACGGACGTCTTTCCGTACAGCCGCCCACTGAACTCCACTTCGATGCGTGCACTCAAGGACAGGGTCCTCGTTCCGACGAGAGAAGCGGCTCCGACACCACCCGAGAAGATCAGAGTGGTTGACAGCGTCAGAGAGCACATTGCTGGGGATGTTACAGAAGAGAAATGAATGGGCACGACGCCCTGGAAACGAATCCCCACCAAAAAAAGTCACCTCGCAGTGTCTGGAGCGGCGTGAGTCCAGACGACCGCCTCGCCTCTCCCAACGACGTGAAATTGACACTGCGTGATTTAAGCGGTAAAAACACCGTGCGTGCGTGCGTGTCTTGTGTGCCGCTGCTTTCTCTGGGATTTTATTTGTGTCGTGGCAGTCTTCTGAGCCACAGAGTGTGGATTAGCGACTACTCACGGAGAATGCACGCCGCATTGCCTGTGCTTTTACTGCCTGTTTTTTTCAATGTTTTACTTTGTAAAGTTCTTTTTAATGCAGTTTAGCTGGAGTAATAAGTACTGTTGTTTTTTATTTACGTAATGTTTGGTTGCTGAACACTGTAATGAGCGACATGTTTCTTCTCTTTGTTTTTGTTTTTTTGCCCACACGCGGTGCCGGTGCTGCGGCTGTGCGTCCCACGACTGCACGAAAGGAGGATTGGGGTAACAGGCCGGATGCCGCATGAAATGTGAGGGATGTTGTGTGGGCTGGTGGGACAGTACAACCTTTCTTTTGTTTTAGTTTGATTTTCTTCTTGGTGCGGGCAATGTGTGTACACACAACCACACGGTTCTCTTGTGCTGCTCGGCACATGAAAAAAAGCCCTGCCGAACCAAAATTTACTAATTTTTAGATTTTTACTTTTGGGAGTCATGCCGGGGCCTCACCCTTTTTTGCTCTTTCCTTTTGTAAATCCCTGCGGCTTGTTATTGTTGTTCTCGTACCCGCTGTCACTGTGTGTCCCCGTGCCCCTTCGAGTGTCCCACTGTTGGCTGTGTTGTTGACATGCCCTCATTCCCTTTCCTTCTTCCCTTCTAGAGGCACCGATGGTTCCCGACGACGATTGTTTGTGTTTCCCATTTTTCGATGGCACGAGGATGACTGGGCGCCGGCCTGCTGAGTGCACACGGAGGGGAGCGGACGGTGTGCGCCGTGCCTCACTGCGACTGTGGATCAGCACCCGTTAGAGAAGAGAGAAGTAAAGGACAGCGCCGTGGACTTGGATGTGCCCCGTCCCTCTCATTGCCGTCGTGTGTGTGCTGTGCGCATGGCACTATCTTGCGGTGCGACGTGGATGGCGGTGCTTTTTCGTGCCCTCGTGCATCTGTTGTGCGGCGGGCTTCTTTTCCCCATGACACCGTCTTTTTGTGTGTGTGGGTGAGTGGAGGGAGTGGAGATGTGTGAGGGAATGAGGGTGGCCGTTGTTTCCGCACATTGGATCTTCCATACATGTGGCACCTCTCGGCAGTCTCTTGCGGCACCCAAGCCGTGTATTGAGAGGCTGGGAGGGTCTGCTCCAACCACAAGAAGGACAACAAGCTGCAGTGCATGACAGCCAACCTGGTCCGCGTGTGGTCGCAGCGCATGGAGCACGTGGGCCAGTACGCGTTTGGCGCTGCGCTCGTGATTGTGGAGCAGAGGCGGCACGACGTTGTGGCGCTGTGTGTGTTGTGCGGCCGGGGCATGGCGACGATTGTGAGGACACGGAGCTGTTCGACTGGGAGGAGCTGGCGTACGTTGCAGCGCAGCGGGAGCGCATGACGGACTGCCTGTGCTGGGAGGGCCCGACGATCCTGAGGCCTGTGCTGGAGGGACTGAGGAAAGAGAGTAACAGTAATGGTGACTGTGGGGATGTGAGGAACGATGCACGGCGAGGAGCGCTCCTCTTTTGCTTTGTTTTGATTGTTGTTGAAAGGCGCCCACCCAATTGTTGTGGTGCGTGACACTTATTGCTGTGCGGTGGCTGTTGTGTGATTGTGTGACTTTTCTCTCCTCTTTGCTTTCACTCTGCGTTGACGGGGAGTTGTTTTTGCTGAAGGCTGCACGCAAGTGACAGTAGTGATGGCGATGACGATGACTGGCCGTGTGCTGCTGGTGTGTGCCCTCTGCGTGCTGTGGTGCGGTGGAGTTTTTGGGCGCGCGATGGACGATTACTGCAGTGAGGGTGGAGGGAGCGGTTTAATGCACACGAGTAATGGTGGAGATGATGGCGTGGCTATAAAGGCGAACTGCGGGTTGTTATCCACTCGAATGCGGTTAATAAATGCGGTTGAAGCTGCGGATGAGGGAGGATTGAACGGTGATGCAGGTTCATCTCAGGATAATCCGAAGGTATCATTGCAGGATAAGAAATTGAGCGGTAATAAGGAGGGCGATGCAGCGCATATCTCAGGCGGAGGTGTTATCGCAGATCCACCACTACCACCAGCAGCGGCTCCACTGCAGAAGCCCGGAGGAAGAAATACAGGAGAGGAGGGAAAACAAGAAGAGTTGGATAAAAAAGGAAATGAAGCAGGTGATAAGAGTAGAAGTGAACCTGCTCCCCAAAAAACAAAATCTGAACAATCCACTTCATCAGCATCTGGCGGCCCTGGCACTCAGAGTGACGTGGAACCCGGTTTGGAGGATACTTCCGAGAGTAATGAATCCTCCGATGACGCGCTGAAACAAGAAGATGCAGGTGAAACGGAATTAACAAAACTATCGGACGGAGAACCAGAAAAAGGCAAAAGTAATACGGCACTCACGGAGACAAGCGACATTCAAGCGAAACAGAAAGAAACACAACTACCAACACTACCAACAGCACAAGTGGATGAACATTCCAGCCCTGGAGATACCGTGACTACGCAACAGCTACAAAAACCCCAAAGTGAAATGGACCCAAAGAACAATTCACAAACAAAGAACGTTGCTACAATCACAGCCAATCAGCACAATGAACCATCTGCCGACCATGCAGGATCAACGCCACCATCACCCACGGCAAACGGTGATGCCGCCAATAATGAAACCGA